ATACCATGTTTTTCTTATTTACACATTTCTTATGTATATATTTGTAACATGTTTTTCTTATTTACACATGTCTTATTTATACCATGTTTTTGTTATTTCTTATTTATACCATGTTTTTCTTATTTACACATTTCTTATGTCTCATTTGATACTTTGGTTTTTCTGAATTACAGGTATATATATTATGGCCAGCAACGAGGAAACAGCACATGATGGAAAACAAACAACAAAAGACGTGGAAGGCGATATTAAAAGAGGCATAACAATTATGAAAAAAATCATCTGTGCGAGAGATAAGGGAGTAAAGTATGATGTCCATTGGAATGAAAGAGACCAGTTAGTTGAGCCTAACGGTGCGTTGCTAACAAGTTACATCGGAGCACTTGTACGTTCGCAAGTTCCGATTACTTGCGATAATTGGAGAATTGTTTCATTACAACCGGCTAAAGATAAGATTTGGACCGAGATTTAGGTATAATATTGGAATTGTTTAATTATTGTTGACATTTACGTCTTTAAATTAAATATACTAACATGTTATATGTATGTGTGTTTGTTTACAGAGATCTTTCCATATTGAAGATCGTAGGAGAAAATATTGTATTCAATTGGCCGAAAAACGCTTGAGGGGATTTAGAGCGTTTTTAACAAACAAGTTTCTAAAAGATTCTGAAGGAAACTTTGTTGACTCAGAGCGTCCGATGAAGTACGCGGATTTGATTTCGGAGGAAGAATGTGAGACGTTTGTTGCAAAGCGAAGATCAAAAGAATTTGAAGTAAGTACAGAAAGGGCATCAATAGTATATACTTATTCCATGTACAAGAGTTCTGATAAACTTATTTTTTCAGGTTGTTAGTGGCGTAAATCGTCAACGGGCATCAAATCCCGCATATCCATACAGAAAGGGCCGGTTGGGATATGCACGATTAGAACAAAAAATAGTAAGTACATATAAATGCTTTAATATAATATATTTACAAAAAATAGTAAGTATATATAATAGGATACAATGCTTTATTATCCGTCTTAATGCATAGTTGGAAGAGGAGAAGAGTGATGCGACATCTCTTCCGGACCATGTTGTATGGAAGGCTGCCCGTGTGGGACGAGATGGAGTCGTTTAGGAAGAAGTTCAACAAGTCTTTGAACAATGTGTAAGTACAACGTTATCTTTGTCAATAACTGATCAAAAGTGTGTAATATATTTATATATGTTTTTATCTATATTTCAGGAGACTCTGTCCCAGACCATAACTCCCGTCGAGGACAATGATTGCAGGAGCTTACTGAGCCGGGTGCTGAATATTCCTGAGTATTCTGGGCGTGTGAGGGGTAAGGGATTTGGTGTCACTCCATCCAAACTGTATAAGCAGCCAAAGAAAAAAAATCCAACCAATAAAGAAGTGATGGAGACTTTGGAGGAATTGAAAGCGCAAATCCGTGAATTACAGAAGGATAAGGAAAGATACATGGCGGAAAGACGCGCTCCAGAGGGTAGAGCTACTAGTGACAAAGATAGTACCGGTTGTCCACAGAAGCTTCCAGAGGTAATTGTATATATTACATTGAAATTAATTTAGCACACTTTACTTAATTGACACATTAACTGATCATTATTTGTTTAGGGAATTTCACTTTGCCGGCTATATTTATCGTCACCTACTCATCAAATGGTTGGCAAGGGAAAGGTGCATAACTTTCTGGGAGACTTACTTCACCACAAACCGCTCCCTTCTGGATTTTTGAAAGTATCTATTGATATTGCATTAGAGGGGAGTGCGTTGTTGCCTATACCAGATGATATTTCAGGCGCAACAGTGGTGGGAGACGCAGTAGGATCGTATGTGGTATGGCCGGCAAATCTGATTTGCATAGATGATGAGGTAGGTTGAACCTTTTAATACTCAAATGTTTTATGATTCATACATGAAAGTTATTCTTACATCTACATTTTCTTATTTACATGATGATCTTAGACTCCTACAAAATCCAAATCAAAAGATGATAGAATTATTGTGCGGGATACCGATTCAGCTGCATCAAAGAAACAGGTACTACTACAGTTACATGACTATCTTGTTATACAATATTAATTACTGAACTTATATATGACTTTTAGGTTCATGATCAGCAGTCGCAACAAGTCAGCAAGAGTAAGATGCCTGAAACTTCCAAGATTCCCAGAAAAGCAACTGTTCCTCGATTTAGGATGTGCCTTGAAACATATGTCGGAACATCAGATGTGCCTGAGGGTGGCGTTCGTCAAATACATATGGAGGCAGGTATTTTCGGTTTTGAATATCCCGAAACAATTGCTAAGGAGGATTTTGATCAGGTTTTCAACCATTCTGAACTGGGCGTCGGTGTTATGCATTCATACATCAGGTACTCCGATCCATTTTTATTAAATAATTGAACATTTTAAAATTTGCTCGTTTAACTTAATATTCTAATGTTGATTATGTTTTTTTAGGTTCTTGTATGACAAGTTATTGGTCCCGAATGAATTGACTTCAGTATTCGCATTCTTATCTGCTAACTGTGTCAACTCACGTATAATAGACCAGTCACCAGATACAGTCAAAGAGTACACAGTGCAGAGATTTATGCACGCGACTACGGAGAAGTTGTTCTTGTTGCCATATAACACTGGCCATGGGTTAGATTTTATTCTAAATTCATTTATTATAATTGTTCGATTTTTCCCTTTCTATATATAACATTTTCGTCTAAACTGTTGTCTTATTTTATAGTGGACATTGGTTGTTGATCGCAATTAATCCGACGAAAGAAATAGTGTATTATATAGATTCATTGGATGGCGATACAACAAAATATGAAAATCTGAGGAACTTTGTTGATACGTAAGTGATGACATATACTGTTGTCTTTAATTATATATCTTTATTTATTATGTGACATTGTTCTAAATATGCGTTTATATTATGTTAGAGTTATACAAATATTCAGAGCACAAAGAGATGCAACGGTGCCAAAAAGGAAGGCTAACAACATCAACTGGATCAGAGTAGAGGTATATTCTCGCATGTTTCTACTTGATAAAACTATTTCAACTATATATCCGGATAAATGTTCGTTTGTTTTTTCCATTTACAGTGTCCTCGGCAGCGTAATGGTATTGACTGTGGATATTTTGTATTGCGCTTTATGAGGGAAATTATTCTTTCTAGTCAACTTGAGATTCCAGTCCTGGTATGGATCAATTCATTATATAAGTTATATGATTCATTTTGATAATTATCCGATACTTCATCTGAGTAATTAGTTTTAAACTTAAATCTTATTCGATCTGTTATATTATGTAGTATTATGATGAATTCAAGTGCGCTACTTACACGAAAGCAAAATTGGAAGAAATTAAAGAGGAATGGTGTCAATTTATTCTTGGGTTGAGAATTGTATAGAGTTATCGGATTGAAAGACTTGTAATTATATGTGAATTGAATGTATTTGTGTTGTTGTAATTCTGAGAATTGAATGTATTTGTGTCAATTTTTGTTGTAACATATTTAAACAGGTTTATGTGTATATTAAAATGTTTATGAACAAAGTCATGAGTTACATCCAAAGTTTTGAATTGTACATATAAGGCCAAAGTTTGAATGGTATATTTAAGGCCAAAGTTTGAATGGTATATTTAAGGCCAAAGTTTGAATTTTATTTATAAGGCCAAAGTGCTGAAATAAAGGCCTTAATTATAAGCAGGTTTGTGTAATATAAGCAGGTTGTTGGTAAAATATACAAAACAGGGTGAATATTTTATAAAAAAAAAATTTTAAAATCTAGGACATTAGACAGCGCTTTTACATAAAAGCGCTGCTAAAGGTCACAAATATTACGCTACAAAAGCGCTGCTATTGGTTTGGAAGGGGGGGGGTCTAAGGCAGCGCTTGTAAAAAGCGTTGCTAAAGGGTGGGCTATGGCAGCACTTTTGCAAAAGCGCTGCTAAAGGGGGGATGGTTGGGGGAATTATGCAGCGCTTACAAAAGCGCTGCTAAAGGGCTAAAAAAGCGCTGCTAAAGGTGCTGCTGAAGGGAGCTTTTAGCAGCGCTTTTTCATTGAAAAAAAGCGCTGCCTTTACCTTTAGCAGCGCCACTTTTTGCAGCGCTTTAAAGCGCTGCTAAAGGCCAAAAAAAGCGCTGCTAAAGGTCTTTTTTGGCATAGTGCTATATGTCAATGGGAGAACACTTTAACTGGATTGAACTCATGAATTAGACTTCGTAAATTTGACTGATTTTAATGGGTATTTGTCCACAATTCATAGAGCATTTAACTATATATTATTACTTAAATTTGATACCTCTTATTTTGAACAACTTTACTTTTATACTCATGAGAAAATTCTGAAAATTTTAAAATTTACAGTATTTTAACAGAAATGTTAATTGTTCTATCAAAAATTTCATTTAGCAAGAGTAAAAATTTTAAAAATAAAATAAAACTTAATTAATAAATAATAACAAAGACTTTATTGGATTTTTAAAAATATAAAAAATGTAAGGTATAAGTTGGGAGATAGCAAGTTAAATTCTCCAACCCATTAACAACTTAAATACTTATCTTTCAATTTTCTTCAACTAGTCAACAAGCTTGACAACCATGTTAATGGGACAACATAGACATAAAACTCGACTTAGGATATACATGACTCAAATTAAAGACATAGATTACATGGAAACCTTTTCAAATCCTACATTGATGTATCTTTTCAATAAAAAAATGGAAGCTACGCCCACCGATTTTTAATTAATTATAGATTATTAAACCTAAATATCACAGTTATAGTAAATAGTAAAAAATAAAAAATGATGATTATTTAATTAATAACACCATGAATCATAATGTTATAAAATCCACAGATAGATTATTAGATACCCTCTCGTTTTCACGAAGAGCGTGCAATCCACGCAAAACTCAGAAGCTCTGTATAAGAACGAAACGACGACGTAATCTAATCTGCTTCATCACAGAAAGAAAGATGCAGAGTTTGCAAGAGAAGGCCTCTGAATGGAGTGGTGTTGAAACAGATCATGCTTTTGCCATTGATGATACCAATTTGTTTCAAAAGCTAGGGCTTCAAACTTTCATAAACCTTTCCACCAATTTCTACAACAGAGTTTATGATGATGAGGAAGAGTGGTTTCGATCGATCTTTGGCAAGTCTGATAAAGAAAAAGCGATTCAGAATCAGTATGAATTCCTTGTCCAGAGAATGGGCGGTCCTCCTCTCTATTCTCAAAGAAGAGGTCAGATTGTTTACATTTTAAAAAGTTTTTTTTTTATTGACTAATGAACATTTTGTTAAACAAAATATATTATAAAAAATTGTTTTGAGAAAATTATTTTAATATCATGGTATATCCCATCGCATCAAACTTTAATTTATCATCAATTATCATTTTATATTTAATTTTTAAATTAATGATATAATATAACCATTATTATTATTAATTTTTTAAAATAAATATTATTTTTGCTTTTTAATATAATTATTATTATTAATTTTTTAATTGTGTTATTTAATTATTATTATTATGTAAATTATTTTTAACACATTAATAAAATTAATTGAATAAAAATATAATATTATTGTGTCTTATTCAATAGCAATTAAATATTATATTTTTATTCAATTAATTTTAATAATAATAATAATAATAATAATAAAATAAAAGATAATAATAATATTATTGTGTCTTAGTCAATAACATTAAAATGGAAGAGTATATATTTATGCCACCAATTGAGTTGGGACAAACGAAGATGATTAAACTCTCTCAACATAATGAAGGAATCAATTTTAATGCTATATCTTTAATTAATGTGACATAACTTAGTTTTCTTAATTAATACTTGTTAATTTGTTATTTCATTCCGTCCACTTATCTTGTTTCAGGAGGTCTACCCGTTTTTTTTTAATAAATAAGTAATTTTTATGAGTTACATCTCACTAATTTCTATTTGTCTTGAATAAATTACTCATATATATATTTTTTAAATTCAATATTTAAACTATATAAATTAGTGGGGACAAATCGGGTCGTAATTTACCGAGCTGTCCCGTGTACCTGTAAAAAAATGGTGGGCTGAATTGAAATTCTTTGTCCGCCTAACTACTCAATCTATTTTGCTTTAAATTCGTCTCGCCGTAAGCCCGCAAAAAAATTACAGGTTAGTCCACCAACTTAATTATCAAGCACTCAAAATATTTATTTTGGTTGGTTGAAGGTTTAATATTTGAACTATAGTTTTAGAATATTTGTTAATGATTTTATTTTATATATTTATTTGTGAATATATCTAATATTTTTTTAAAATAAAATTTGTTTAAAAAATACTATATAAAAAATTGTTCTAAAAAATAAGTGAAAAGTCTAATTAAAATGTAATAATAATTATATTAATTTATTAAAAGAATGAAAATTAAATAAATAAAAAAATAAGTGGGTAAGTCCGCCGCCCACCTACCCATCACTTTAGTAGGGCAGGTTAGACTTTTAAATTCAATTTCACTTGGTGTTCCGCCCTCTTTTTTGACTGACTTAAGACGAGGCGTAATAGACGGTCTATTTTATCACCCTTAATATAAATACCTTCTTATTTTAAAATTTAACAATAATCTTTCTCACATCAATAATAATAATAATAATAATAATAATAATAATAATAATAATAATAATAATAATAATAATAATAATAATAATAATAATAATAATAATAATAATAATAATAATAATAATAATAATAATAATAAAAGTAAATTATCTCAAGTAAAAATTAATTTAAAAAAGTAAGAGAGATAAAAGACTATTACATAAAATAAAAGGTTGGTTATTATCACGAGGAGGAAGAGAAGAACTCTTCAATTTATTATATTTTTAACATTTGTTATAAGATATCACAAATAAGTTATAACAAAATAGCTTCTTACACGCGAATTTTTTAATAAAGACTGTCTTTAAAAACGCACAAAACGGAATATTTTCCGGAACCTAAAATATTTTTGATAATTAAACTTTGGCTAAAAAAACTTCATCAAGTATTTGTTATGGTTTAACCACAAAAAATTAGGCCCCTATTTTTTTTTTTACATTTAAACCATACAAAGCAGAACCTTTGGAAATTTAAGACAATTCTAGTTTTATTTTTCAAACTTTTAATATATGATCTTTATCTTTCAAATTCTCTTTTCAATAAATCTTTTCAATAGCTATTGAAGACACACTTCACACTCCATACTCTTACCATCAAATTGAACTAGCTTAATTTATGTAAACTTATAAGTTATAAAGACCTTCAACTTATTATTCTTTTCTCTAAAACTTACTCAATTTCAAAACAAAACAAAAAAAAAACATAATTAAACCTGACAAATTTGTCAGCTTTAAGGTCAAAATAAAAGCTTTTTTTTAGGTTGCTTTGCTCTTAAAAAATTGTGGTAATTTACCCAATGCAAAAGCAAAACAACTTGAAAATCAAAATGTTTGATACTTTACACATAACAGGACATCCTGCTCTAATTGGTCGGCATCGACCATTTCCTGTGACACATGAAGCTGCCAAGAGATGGTTACATCACATGCAACAAGCAGTGGACAACACTTCAGCCATAGATCATGATTCCAACATCATGTTAATCAACTTTTTCAGGTTTATTATCATCACCCCAAACATTAAGATACTTGATAGAGAATAACTAATATTGTTCATAACAACATTTTTTTTCAGGCACACTGCGTATTTTCTTGTGGCTGGAATTGAGCAAAAGAATCAAAGCCTACATCCTTGCAAGGATGCACCCGGAAGACACCCATGTAAAAACTTTTAGCTTTATTCTTTCTACAAATGCGACAAGAATGTGATGTCAAATAGTATTGTATAATAATTTATGTACTTTTTCAAATCTATCAAGCATCAATAGATGTTTGTTGATCATCATGTAACAAAAGAATGCATTCATTCATGTTCCGGTTTTTTCTTTTGTCAAGTAACTTTAGCATGTGCTTTTAGATGGGGCATCCTGTTGAAATGTCAAGGACTGGGGAAACCATCTAACTGTTGAGCTTTTTTACCATGCTGTGTGATTAAAGTTAAAGCATCAAATGAATTTTTGTTTGATTTGAAATGTACTTTTCAACTTTAGGTAATCTAAAGACCACAATCAGCCATCAGAACAGCGTATCAAAGTGCTTTTGGCTCACTAATATGAAATGAAATGGGATGATTTGTACCGCACAAAGTTGCATGCCTTTCGGCGAGGGTGGACTAATGAGTAGTATGATGTAGTTCATGTTGAGAATTTTATCTAGTTCATGGATTTTAAATAGTTAGAATTCTCATCTTAGTTACACTCCTATGATACAAATTATTTAGCAACAATGTTCATGGATGACAAACCAGCCTGTTTGTGATGACTGTGTAAACTCGTTTTGTAACAAATTTGTATAAAAAATAGAATAAGTTGAAATGAATATTGTTGAGAATGTGGATCTAAAACACTCTTCTGTTATACATTAAAATGAAAGCGGGATAGGATGGACCCGCGGCCACTATATATTTTAAGCATAAAAATATATAATTTATGCTATTATTCGTGCCCGCAAAAATCCAAGAAAAAAATAGAATGAGAACGGACACATTAGAGGTTGCAGACCTAAATTTTTAATCTGGTTCGCATTAAAGTACGAATAAAATGGACACATCCAACCGACCAAATCCGTTTTGCCATCTTTAGTTCAAAGTATTTTAAACCTCGTCTTTATTTTGTGAAACTCATTTTTATTGGAGTTAGATTAAAATTGAAACACTTATAATAAGTTGTATACAATCAAATATTATAAAGGAAAAGGAAGGAAGTAGGGGAGGGAAACGGTTCGCTCGACATCTTCATTTCCTATTTTTATAAGACGGGATAAGATTGTAGGCCTACACTTTCAAATATGTTCCTTTCATCCCATTTTTTTAAGGATTTTTCTAGGCGCAAATATTAACATAACATAAGTTTTGTAGTATTGTTCGCACAGATTTCTGGCGAACAATCTCTAACCTCTTATTAAAGGTTACTTGCAGGATCGACTACAAAATCCTAGATTTAGTGTTAAGTATGGAATGGTTATTTAAGTGTTTGGGTTTGACATGGGAGGCAAGAAATTGGATGAAACTGCGTTGGTGCAACTAAGATAAATAAATGAGAAAACAAGATAAAAACTAGAAAGGAAAGTGAATTGAAAAAACTTATAAAGTAAATCGCTTGAATATAAGTTGGACGCATGCATACATTTGTGTAGAAATAATTTGTTTCTCTTAGATGCTGATACTTTGAGTGTTTTCTTTGAAATGTTACAAAAATGTGACCCCTTGAATTGATACTAAATTCTACTTAAATAGGCATAAAAATAACTACTGTTTTGTTGTCGACTATTCACAGCTTGTCACGCGTCCATCCATGCACACCCACTTTGTTTGTAACTTCCCCACGTTCTCATCAACTGCTTTCAAAACATGTTTGTGTTAATTGTTCTTGGCTTTGACTTCGATCTATATAGTTGTCTGTCGAACTTGCTTCGATTGGGCCCATATTTCCCTTTTCATGTCGTGCTCGTCAGACCTCTTCGACGACGTCGGCCTATTTCGACGCTTCTTTGTTTGTGATGCAAAGTTTCTCCCTTTGATTCACTTCTTTTTCCCTAGTTAAAATTTGCTAGCTAACAAATTGCCCTCCTAAAAGACCAATTTCGGCCGAGATTATCTTCGACTGAGAAATATGGCATTTTATTCTTGCCAAATTGCGACTTTATGTCCAATCTGCTGACATCACGCGTAATGATAGCAACTTTCCGCGTCACGATTTTCAAACAACACTTCATCACTTTTCATGATTTCGGCTATTCCCTAGGTCGTGGATTTTTCAGCTACCCCCACTAGTTTCCCCACTACGTTGAAACAGAACAGTCATAAACCGCCATCGACTGCCACTTGGCTACCATCAACGTTTGGGTTTTACGCTTATAAATACTCTTTCCACATCTTTCGTTTCTTTCATTCTTCTTCTCCGCGCCTATTTTCTACAACTTTCAGAGAATCACAATTTTCTTCGATTTACTTCTATTTTCTCACATTGTTATGGCTTCTACTACTCACAACACCGATAAAAATCTTATAGCATTCGTTCTTACTGAATAAGAGGGTCTAAAAACTATTCCTCAACCATTGTCAACTGAAAAATCGGTGGTGGAAAACTGGCAGCGACAAATGCTTATTCCTTTCATTGTTGCTGAAAAACTTTTTGCCTTCCATGGGTCGTATCCAGATGAAAAGACACACCCAAAAAAGGTTCAAGAATATTTTTCTTGTTATACTTCTTCCATTCCACCTGCTTTCAAAAAGAATGGTTCTCTTGATTTGAAGTTCATGGATCCAAATTTCAGGGTTTTTCGGTCGATGCCTACTCCGGGAAACAAGGATTACTTGGTCGGGCTCGACAAGGTTTAAAGTAAATGTCAAGAACAATGGAAAACAGCTGACATCTTCGACGCCATCAAGATATCGAGACATGCCCACAAAGTCAATTCATGCATGATGTTTACCTCAATTTACTTCTGGGAAGGTTCAACTAATACCTTCCAACTTCCTTGTGGTATGCTAACGCCTACTCTTTTCGACGTAGCAGCCATTACTGGCTTATCACCTTTAGGCGAAACTTTCTACCCAACTCTTTCGACTGAAAACACTTTTTCTTTCAATCGTTCAAGTCTCAAACATTATATCAAAGACCACCATGTCCAAGATCCTGAGGAAGTTTCCGACAGGGGACACATTGCTTTTTTAACTCTTTGGCTCTCCTACTATTTGTTATGTCATGGCGTTTTGAAAATGGCTAAGAGCTATATTAGTTTAGCGATCTAGATACATGAGGGTCAACAGGTTTCCTTGGGTAAACGTCTGTTGGCGCCCCTTTATCATTCTTTGGATATTGCTTCTCTGGAGCTAAAACTCATTCACACCACTCCCAAAGCTTTGAATATGTCGCGCCCCAAATGATTGTTGCAACATTGGCTGAACGCCGCCTTTGAGTATCAACTTGGTTGTTCTGTGTCGGAGCGTGTTATGCATTTGACATATAGTCGACCTATTGAAGGCATGAGGCTTGCCTTAACCACATGTCAAGAAACTCCCAACAGGTTCATTTTTATGAAGTATATTAATATGTTTGTCGAAGCCACCACTTTTTTTTTGGCCATGGCTCCTTTCGTGGATCAAAGCTTTAGTCCGACTTGGTTCAGGGATCCTTTTCTTGGCGTTGCTCCAAAATCTGCAGCGCTGTCAAATGCTGTGTGGAGAGCGTTTCTGACTCCCACGATGTTGTCTTTCAAAATTGAATTTGGGTCGAAGGGGTATGGATTCATGAACTACCAACTCAATTTGATGGCTCGACAATTTGGTTTGAGCCAAATGCTACCAAGGTCCTTAGTGTCCTATTCGACTGACATTGTGTGGGTTGGTCGACAGCTGAACGTTGACGGCCACGTGGCTTACCTCAAGTTTCATAAGATAACCCAACACCTTGAACGTTCAAGTTTCAATAGTTCTTCTTTACCACCAAAGAATTTGACAAATGGTGGTCTAAATACCAGCACCAATATTTTTCCATCTCAACTTTCCTCCAAAAATAATTGATACTTTTTCCGTTATGGAAAGAAAAGTACCAGCTGCAAAGCCGACAATGGATGCTCCCGTCGAAACTAACTGCTGACGCCGATGAGGCTCAGCCAAAGAAGGCAAATAATGTTTCATCGAATTTCTTTTGTTCAAAAGCAAAACGAACTGATTGTTTTTTGTACTTGTCCTCTAGGTTCGAAAGCATGTTCTAACTTCTGTACCATCCCCAAATAAACCTCCGAAGAAGACAAAAGCATCTTCAATTTCAAATCCACAGGTACGATGTGTTTTGGTATCTTAAGATGTTTACTTCGATGGACCTCTTACGTTTCTTATTGCTTAGGTCTTCGAAGAGGTGTCATCTGTTGAAGGTGAAGCTTCTGTTAGCAGCACTCACTCTCAAATATTTTCTTCTGTGAAGGCTTCGACGCCTACTACAGTCACTCAAGCTAAGAAGAAAAGAAATATTTTTCTTAAGAAATCGGCTTCGAAAATTGTCTCTTCGATTGCCAAAACCTATGGCCCTAAAAATCTTACTTCGACCTCCAAATATATTGGTCATGAAGATAAAACTTCAACTTCTCCTCCCAAGAAAACAACTCTTGAGGTATTGAACATTTTTATTGTCTAACTTCTTGAGTTATTCCTTGATATTAACTTTGAATTCTTTCTATAAGGACCACCTATTGAGTCGAACTGTGTTAAGGACCCTGGTGACGTGGTGGTCTAAATTGAGAATCTAATGGAGACTTCAAGGCTTTTCGACCGAAGATAATCCAAATCCCGATATGCACAATGATGCAAATCAAGAGCCTTCGACTACTGCGGCTAACAACATGCCTGGCGAATGCAATTAGAATCCACAAGCTTCTATAGAAGGTGCCCCCAACCCATTCTTGCAAGACACGAGTTCCAATAGCTCCCTTAGTCAAGAAGAAATTCTGGCTATGAAGTAGAAGAATCCAGCTGAGACTTTGCGAAGACTTCAAAGACTTCGACAGGTGCCAGCTAGCGCTCAGACCTCTGGCTCGGCTCTCATTCCTATGCCAGAGATGGATGCTTATGTTACCCTCAAACTCCAACAACTTAAAACATATCTGTTTGAGCGTGAAATTTTGGTCGTTGTCGAAGAGGAAGCTGCTTTGGGGACTGATGTTCACAATCTTCTCGACGAAATCTCTTAATACAACATTCCTGATTCTTTGGCTCAATACCTGATTGAGTTTGAAGCCTTTTCAATCAAGACGAAGTCAAACGAGATGAGATTGGAATGAGACTTCAGCGAAGCTTATGAGAAAAAGCTAAATGACTTTGAGGCCAAGAATCAGGAACGTCTCGACAAACACCGTGTCTTCGACCAGCAAATCTCAACTTATCAAACTCAAAAGCTGAACTTAGCAAAAAGATTGTTGAGATCAAGCAACAGAAAGCTTCATTGGATTCGTCAAAGACTTTCCGACTCAGGATGTTGTCAATCAAAAAATACTCAAAGGGATGCTCATGATGGGAAAGCCCTCAAAATTAAATAATTTATGTATTTAATTTTTATGTGAAATTTGTTTATAGAGTATCTATTTTGACGAACTCATTTCAATTTTTATATACCCCGGTGCAACAAAAGAAAGATGAACGCAAACCAAAAATTTGGCCGAAGTTTTAGAAAAACTTAATTTAGCGAACAAGTTAGACTTAGATTAGGCTTGCACCAGTACCGGTAAGATTTCAGCATGTTTATATCAACATTTCTTGTCGGGAAAAAGAAATAAGGCACTAGCACCAGTAAGATTCTTTTGTTCTGTCAGCGTTTCACAAGACACATAAGTTTGAAACATTCAACCTATGGTCTTCTGTTCTTTTCCTTCATTGGGACAATCATGTCAATTTTGAACAGCAGCAAAGAACAGATACAAGTTGAGAGAGATCAAATCTCAGAATAAATTTCGAATAGTGTATATTTGAGATTGATTTATAATCAAACAAGAGAAAAAAAATAAAAACTATTTTTTACATTTATAATAATCATCGACCCAATAAAAGTTTAGGAGGTAAAATCCAAGATGGATCGGCATACCGAGCTGAAAATGACCGTGGTAGATTATCTGCTTCCATCCACCCTGTTCCTTGATCAAAGTTCATTGAATATGTTTCTTCATCATAACATACACCATCAATATCCACCCTAGAAGCAGAACCAGAAGAAGAAGCATAATTGAAAACTTTCTTTTTATCTCTTTTCACCTTTCTCCAAATCTTCTGCCACACTGTTTTCTTGCTTCTGTCATTGCTGCTATGATGAGTCTGTGGCTTTGTTGTGTAGCTCCTACCTAAACGTGCTTCGTTTCTTGAACCAAACCACTTCATCTTCTTCATATCCATTTTTGGTGTGAAACTATCCTTAATGGTTAATCTTATCCATAATCACTTATATAATAATTGTTAAGCTGATATTTGGCTTGGACCGCCAACCATGGCAGCAAACAAAGACTTATGGAATGTAAAACAGAAGCAAAATAATAATAAATAAAGAATTTTGAAGTGTCAAAATTATACTACTGCTGAATGAGTCATTGTTATACACTATAGCAGACGCCAAACTTGGAAATGTAAGCTTGAGTATTATTATATTAAATTAAAATTTAAGAATAAGAATTAACACTAAATTAATCACACATGTATCTTTCATCAGTTTCACATGAATAAGATGCTGAACATAATTGGAGATTTTAACTTATTCTATCATTGTACATACTGCCAAACCAGATACAGCCACTACAGATGAGATTCTGTTCCATTTTCAATTTTCACAAAAGTCAAGATTAATGAACAGTTGAACATACTTCTCTGACTATATGTATGCATTTTTTGATTAAGATTCATCATGTCAATAGCATAATGAGTCATATAGTATGACTAACTTAAAGTTGATCAAAAAATCATTTTGTTAAAAGTGACTTTTATCTTTAAATTATTTAGGTCAAAATAATTGTGTAAGAGGGCCCTACTATCTAAAGGCACATAGTTGAACTTGTGAAAATGTGCTTCCATCGTTGAGGATAGTTAAGAAAACAGCTAAGGCAAAATTTTCACACAAGATTGATAAATCAGCATGTTAAGCTAAAACATGTATTCAAGCTGCTGCGGTTTCTTGTGTGAGGAAGCAGCAGAGTTTAAGTTCAAAATTATACATAAAGAAATTTTCTCAAAAGAGAAAGAACAGAGAAGCTTGTCACGCTGCACTGTCACCTTGAGATTGTGCAATTGTCTTCAGCCTCTTATAAGCATCAGAACATGCATGAGTATAATCCGATAGCGCACGGAAGAGCTCAGGCAGGCGAGTTTTGAGGCTCTGGAGTGACTTCTCTCTTACCTGAACACACAACTTTTTGTGCGATTCAGTTTCTTCTTCTAATCTCTTCTTTAAGCTCTCAACGACAAACTGTTTCTCTGAGACAGGATTGTTGGTATTTCCTTCCTCTCCTCTATCTGCTTCGTCTGGCCCCATTTTTTGTAAATGCTTTTGGTACCAATCCTGAAAAGCTTGGTTTTTCTTCAAAAATTCCTTTTGAATTTCCTCACATTTCTCCTTTAACTTCATCTCTTCCTCCTGCTGAAGTATGATCGTCTTTATCACAGCCGCAAACGAGGAAATTGCAGATTTCGCTAGTTCATCAGGAAGCTTGTCAAGGTAATCATGCCATGCATGGAGAAGGGTTTGAATGGGTGGATTCTGGGCTCTTGGCGGGGAAGAGATTTTCTCTTTTAGGTTGCTTTCGATGGGAATGAGATTTAACTTTAGCCAGCTATTAAGAGCTTGAATGTAATGCTTCTGTTGAGTCACGAGCTTCTCAAATTGTGACTGCCATTCTTGGATTACATTCCAAAGCTGTATGGTACGGTCATAATGATGTTTTGTTGTTTCCTTCTGATCTTGAGAAATATCAAGAGATTTGAGATCTGTTACTATTTTTAGCTGACTGTCATGATGCATGAACATACTCTCCCACATATTGGCCATCCTGAAAAGAAATCAAGTAGGGTTGTGATTAAGATAGTGATTAAGATAAAGATCCATCTGTGATGCTAAGGATAGAAACTTGATACCTGGTTGGTATGATCATGTCAAAAATGGACAAAATATTAGATCATGTCAAAAATGGACAAAATATTAGATCATGTATAAGTAAATACCATGGCAAATTGAAAACTAGAAAACCATACATGTAAAGTGACATGATTATTATTATTATTAAGATATTCATCAACTTCTTCTATAGCATTAAAATGCGAGTTTCTTCCACTATTCATCATGCAAGCATAGATATCACTACCACTAAGACATCAAATATATGACTCACTATATCAATTATATCTCTTTGATTTCGAATTGGCAATACTTACTCAATAACAAGAGCAATAAGTTTGGGATACAGCTGAGCATCGCGAATATGGTTCACTTCTGAAACCGTTGAATCCATCGACTGCATATCAACAATATATCTTGTATGTAAATGACTTACGGCAGCTTTAGTTTTTCCTAAAGAATCAACACTAGCACCACGCTTCTTCTGCTTGTTCAGAACCGAAACTTTTCTTTGATATTCAAACTTCATAAGCTCACCTTGCTGTCAACCATAGCAACATGTTACAAATAAAAATAAAAACTTAGCGATATGAATGAAAGCATAAATGACAAAATTGAAAGAAGACAACTACCTTAACCTCTTCATAGAGTTTCTTTTCCCAAGCTAACAACTTGTCCAAAACAGTGGCATGTGTTTCATACTCTTCCGAATCAAAGTCATCTTTAGCACCCTCCGACACACCCTTAAAAGACCTATTCCATGTTATCACTTTCATGACTCTGGCAGAATGATCAATGTGACCTGCTCATGTCACCGCAAATTAGCCTCAACCATACATGTCCATTCCAACTAACAACAACTAACTAAAACCTTAAACAAAGGGTTTAGGTCCAAAATTTAGATGTGCCCTTGGAATTGAGGTCTCGAAACTTGGTCAAAATTACAAACATAAACTCAAATAGAATGAAATGAAATAAAGGAAAACAGATCTAACACGAAATGCCTTACCCCGATTATCGGCAAAATTAGAATGATAATGCAACCTAGTCGCTTCAAGCATCTTGGAAACTTCTTGAGCAGTTTCAGAAGCTTTAAGAAAATGATCATCAAGGGAACCAAGAATCTGCATGAGAGTAACAGTGGGAACCAACTTAATTGCTCTTCTAAATTCAGCAGGAGCAGTTTTAGAATGTTCAATGTGTTTAGCCTCTCTCATCACACCATCCTCATGATCATGAACATGAATATGCTCATCTTCCTTATTATACACATCAACCTCCACTTTCTCCGGTGTCTTTGGTTCAATCTCATCCACCACATGTCCTCCATTATCAACAACATTTTCATCTTCAATTTCACCTTCCTCGTTCTCAATCTCATCTTCCTCATTCAAAGAAGCTCTTGCCATGTTCATATCCATGAAGAAATAATCCCAAGCCATGTTTTTCGATTCCGGCGGAGGAGGAGGAGGCTTCGCTTTACCTCCTGGCGGAGAAGGCGGCGCGTGAACCAATCCGTCACCGTCTTTCTCTCTTTCTCCCTCTACCTCGATTTTCGCATTTTCCTTCATCTTTTCAACAATGGAGACTCCACCGCTAGGTTTTCTGTGCTGCAAAGCCACAGGCGGCAATGTTACAGCGCGTTTGAGCGATGCCGGAGAGAAATTAGGAGGAAGAGGCGGTGGAGGAGGGAGATTCTCTTCCATGTGCGGAGGAGGCGGCGGTGGCGGTGGAGGAGGCGGAGTGTTAGAAGTATGCATAGGCGGCGGATGAAGTTCAATTTCTTCCAGATGAGTTTCACCGTGAGAGTAGTCAGAAAGAGCGGCGCCGGTGTTTTTGAGAGCCATTGCGTAACCGGAATGACCGGCAGCGAAGGCGTTACGAGCAACAACCGCTTCTCTCATTAAATTTTTTCTTTCTTTGCATCTCGCCACTGATTCTTCATTGTCTATTCTGGACTGTGCACAACCCATCTTTAAGATATTTTGATTTTGGAGAGAGAAATGAAAGTTTTTTGAAGTTAGTTGAAGATGAAAATAAAATGTGTGTGAGTTGAAGAGTTAGATTTGAGTTTGGCAGCAAAACGACATCGAATTAAAAAGAAAGGGTTTTAGAATAGGTGAGTTTTGGAAAGGAGAATGGTGACAAGATAGTACAGAAAAGAAAAGAAAAGAGAGAGTGCAGAGTGAGGTAGTGGCATACAACAGAGATGATTATTTGTTTTTGTTTTGTTTATATATTTGATCAGAGTAAGGAATTTAATTTAAACCTATTTTTAAATAACGGTCATATTTTCTAAGCTGATATATTTCCGTTTTTCTTTTATTTCCTAAATAAATGAGTGAAATATGTATATTTTGAATTAAGTTAATTGAAACACACGCTTTTTAATGAATCTTTAAAAGGATTTAAATATTTAAAATAGCATTCAGTGTTTTAAATTTTAAATCAGTAGTTAATTCAGTCAATATATTGAGTTATTTAGTAAGTAGAAAATCATGTAGTTTATGTATGAAAACAAAACAACCTCATGAGATTTAAATTTTAAAACACAACCGGCTGTTGCTTTTGAACAAATAACTAAATAATATATAATTTCTTTTAATAAAATTGATATATTTATATTTTTGTATTGTAAACTTTTAACTTTTAAAATAACATAAATTTTATAATCAGATGTTCAACCAATTATTTATCTTAATCAATAAATAATTTAATATATTACCAAAAATCATGTATATTTGTTTTTGTAAGATATATAATATGGTGATCACGAGTTCAAGGAGATCTTTTATAACAAATTAATCATGTTATTAATGGATAATTATTTATAACTTATTCATATAACTAAATATTATGATCAATATTAATAATTGGTTTTAATTTCATAAATTTAGTTATAAAATTGACTATTTTTATAACAAATTTTAACTTTTTGTAATTTATAAGTTAAATATAGGTATAAGCATTCAGTTTTTAATTCTTTTAATAAAATTAATGAATTTATGTTAGATTTCATTTTTGAAAGTGTCAAAATTGACTCTTAAATTGAGTAATAAATTTTGAAATAACTAAATGACTTTAATTAAAATTTATTTTTCCTTCTGAATTGATCGTAAATTTAAGCTATAATTTGTTACCGAAGAATGTGTTGATTTAAATATTCATTGCTAGTACATTGAAAAATTATTGCTAGCGCAACTTCTATATGTACCCATGTTTATGTTAGTTATTCTTTGTTTTTTTGTTTTTTTTTTTTTTTTAAGATATGTGAGTTTTTTTTTATGCAAAAGATGGCAGAAGCTCGTTACAAGAATTGAAAACTAAGAAAATACCACTTTAAAAGTGGTTATATCTCTAATGTCATAGTCTATAATACTAATTATAATTATCATTACTATTGTAGCACTTCAGTTTTATGAGTTATTTATTTAATTGAAATTATATATATTTAATTATTTAAATCGATTTTCATGTGTAATGAATGGTCATTAGTAGTATTCGATGTTTTGGATTTGTAGTGCATTGTTCTAAGTATTTAAATAAATAATAAAAATAATAATATTAGAATGATTAAAATTTTAATAGAGTAATTAGAAGAAAATTATTTTATTTTATTTATTGGAAGAAAATAGATAAGTGGAAAATAAAAGAGAATAACGGAGAATATTATTAGTATTAAAATAATATTAAAGTTAAGAGAGGTATTTTGATGAATAGAGGAATAAGTGAGGGCAAGACGGAAAGTCACTAATTGGGAAGATTAAGGCTCTAATAAGAGAAAGTTAGTAAGGGTTTGAGAATTAATACGTGAAAACATAATTGGGAGAAAGAGGCAAGGTTAGAGCTTGAGGGGAGAGAAGAACTTGGAACAAATTAAGAATTTCTCAAGCAGTTTAAGGTATGGGGGAATTACTCCTAATATTGGTGTAGTTTGCATGATTGGGTAGAGGCAAATCCTTAATCCCATTAGATTTTTTTACATCTTTTTTCCCTTTTTGATGAATGAATGATGAACATGACATAAATTTTATAATTGTATGATCATGTGTTGTGTTGTATGTTTTTTGTGCACTGTTTTGCCATGAAAATTGTGTGTTATTGTTGATGAAATTAGTATGGGAGTATGTTCATATGTTGTTGATGAACAACCCATGTTAAATACATGATTAAATGAGTGAAGTTGCATGTTAATTTATGGATAATTGATGTTCGGATGATAAATGTTATTTCCCTTAATGTTGATGTGCGATTTAGGGTCAAGGGATGTGGAATCGGAGTTTTATTTTGAACTCTAATGGAAAAAACGTAGTTTTTGCCGTCTGGTTCAGGGTGACGGGCGTCACCCTAATGACGCCCTGGTCGTCATCATTTTGGAGGCGCTAACGGGCGTCAGCTTCATGACGGGCAGACCATCATGGTTTTCAGGCATGGTTGGTTGGGACGGTCGTCACTGGGATGACATGAGAGGTGACGTGGAGGGTCATAGGCATCACCTTGGTGACGGGTAACCCGTCATGCTTCCAAAATGAGCGTCATTCGCTCAGTTGTGTGGAATTGCTTTATCGTTTTGATTTTTAATGTGCTGCTATGATGTGGCTACTGTTTGGAGTAGTTTGGGGTTGTTTATTAGGTCGATTGATTTAATTTACTTGTTTTTAGTGTATAAAATAAGGTTGTTGTTTATTATAGTGATTATATATTAATTCAATGATGATCATTTTTCGTGAGATTGCATGTTATGGTGAATCATGCATCATGATGTATGGGATTTGGTCAAGATTTGGTGTGCTCTGGTCCAGTGGTATGGATTCCGGAGCGAGTAGCTAATTCCATTGAGGAGTTAGTGAAGCATTGCTTATGGTGATAACAACTAATTTTAGTGTGCTCTGGTCCGGTGGTATGGATTTAGGAGCGAGTAGCTAATTTCAATGAGGAATTAGTGTAGCATTGCTTATGGTGATAACAAAGAATTTTGATGTGCTCTGGTCTGATGGTGTAGATTCAAGAGGGAGTAACTGGTTCCATGTGGGAATTGGTGAAGCATTACCTATGGTGATGGTAACGATTTGGTGTGATCTAGTCTTATAGTGGGGATTCAGGAACGAGATGTGAAGGTAGGAAAAACACTTAGAAGGGGGGGGGGGGGGGGGGTTGAATAAGGGTTTCAAATAAAAACTATGACAATAGTAAAAATAACAAGGTATTTTTATCCTGGTTCGTTTGAACTCAAACTACTCCAGTCCACCCTACCAAGGTGATTTGCCTTTCTCAACAAGGACTTAATCCACTAAATCAAACTGATTACAGTGATAACCACTAAGACAAACAGTCTTAGTCTTCTCCAGAATTCTGACCACACTTGGTATCTTAAGGAACTTTACAACAAGTAAAAATACAATGTGTGTTTAAGAGTTGCTTCTAAAAAGCTATATCACAACTGTAATTTTACACAAATGAAGAACAAATTAAATCTAGAATGAAGTTGAAAGATGTTTGAATATTGTTCTTTGATTGTTCAGTAATTCGTCAACTAGAAATGTTGTAGAAGTCTTGTTTAAATAGAACTTCACTTTCATTTCTTAAAGGGCGTGCAGCTGGCATTCTGTCTTCTTTGACTTTTCTTTCCCATAAGAGGAATGTTCAGACAAATCTTTTTTGTCTGAATTCTTGTGTCATGCACGAATGAGGAAAGAGTCGTTTGGATAAGGACAAGGAATATGCCAACGGATTTTTATTTGAACATCATCTTCTTCAACAAATCTGGAACAGTCTTGCATCAGATCCTCTGATGATGTTCCTTGTTCTTCAGATCAGAGTTACTCTATTCAGAGTATTTGCAGCCATGTGCTTTAGCGTGAATGATCTTTATCATAGGAGACTTGAATATCAGAGCCTCTGTACTTGCAGCGTTAAATATTTCCAGAGTCTTCTGATTCTTTACATATGCTTTTTTGCTCAGAGTCTTCTGCAGCTTCGCTCAGAGTCTCTTTCAGGCAGCGTTCAGAGTCTTCTGATTCTTAACTTTCAGAGGAGTTTTTGCTTCTAGAGGAATATTAATTTTAATATCTGAAACAAAAACACTTGAATACGATTAGAGTATATATTTACTTCATACAAAATTTCATTCATGTTATCATCAAAACATAGAGATATATTAAGAAGCAATATGTGTTCTAACAATCTCCCCCTTTTTGATGATGACAAAAACAATAGGAAATTTTGTTCAAAACAAATATATATATATATATATATATATATATATATATATATATATATATATATATATATATATATATATATATATATATATATATATGATCGCGACTTTCTATGTCTAACTCAATTAACTGCAAGTGCACAGTCTATCGCGTAGTAATAATAGATATCGATCCCACAGGGACTCGTAATCAAACTAGTATTATCGGGTGTTACGGTGTTTAGCTAGGTTGGTAATGTTTAAGGGAATAATAACAAAATAAGTGCGTAAACTAAAGGGAACTAAAGCTTTTACTTAAGGTATGAATGCTTGAATCGGTATGTAATATGTTATTTCTTCAGGGATTCTGTAGGTTACCGGTGTCTTTAGGTTTTCAAAAATAGTTTAAGAAGAAAATGATGGTTTAAAGACCTTTGTCTCACGATGGTTGTTGATGCTAGTCGCAACTCTAAGGTGGAACGTATGTTGTCGCTATCCCGTTCGGGGTTAAAGTTACTTTTTGAAAACTATTAAGTTCTAATTCCTTTTAAAGCGTTGTCGCTGTTTTTAAAATGAATGCCTAGTTTTTACTATCTGGTCTTAGCCTCAGCTGTCGCTTGTTGGTTCGTACCTTTATGAATTTCCCACTGTCGTGGCAAAACTACTGTAAATAATTTCTCGCTGTCGCGACGAAGGTTTATTTAGAAAAGTCAAATTTAAAAACTGAAGCCATAAATAAGTTTTTGAACAGGTAGATATACACCGGTTAATTAT